AGTCTTAGTTGCGGAGGGCGCAGTTAGCTCAGCTCCAAGTTCAGTCGCCAGCCAGCCAGCCACCCGGCAGCAGCTCGCAGCCGCTCTGCTCAAGGTGCCATGTTCAATCTTACAATAATTGTGGGTGGGCGTAGCCCATCATCCCATATGGCAGTCGAACCAGAAACCTTGTTGTTAGGAGCACCTGCTCTCACCAGCTGAGCCATCCTGCCAACTGTTGGCAGCTCAGTGGCAGCTCAGCTCGGGCGCAGCTCACTGGCTCATGTGAGAACCGGGAACCCTGTTGCTCAGAGCTCGCGCTCTTAACCAACTGAGCCACTCGGTTGTCCCCTCGAATTCCTTTGTCTTTACTGCTTACTAGCTCCTTGATCTTGGGCAAATAACCCCTCTGAACTTTAGTTTCCTCATCCATAAAATCGAAATGATAGGACTCACCTCACAGAGTTGTTGTGAGGATTAAATGAGGTATCTGTGAAAGTGCTTTTTAAGCTCTAATTTGGCATACCGTTGTAAGAAGGGATGGTAAAGGTGTCTATTAGAGGCCAGTTTGGTTGTAACTTTGATATAGTTCTGTTTAAATAACCCTGGTTCAACTTCAAGCCACCCTGTGGCGTTATTGTACCTTAGGTTAGGCATCACTCAGTTGGGACCATGTTATAATGAGGCAGCCTGTAACCTACAGGCACCTCAAGGTAGAATTACCTAGGTTGATTTTTTTTTTTTGGATATTTTTTTACTATTTAATGGAATCAGATTTCTAGATTTTCTTTTTTTTTTTACTGTGACTACTGGGGTCAAAGGGGAAGAGAGACCATTCTCCTCCAAGGCCCACATCCCTAGATGTGGCTTCTTCTCACTCCGGCTGCGAACATACACAGCCCATGCTGTGCAGACGGGAAGTTACTCCTACAGGACGAGAGAGTCAGGGCTGTCAGCGTGCACACTGGGGAGGTTATAGCTGTGGTGCTGGGTGCCCAGTTGGCGTGGCATCTCCTCCTCCCAGGCTGCAGATCCTACGAGGCCTCAACCCTCCCCCCTTCTTTTTACCTGTTTCCCTAGGTAGAGCAGTGAGAGCGTGCACGCAGGCGCTGCCGTCAAGCAGGCCTGGACTTGAGCCCAGACTTCGCTGCGTGCCCATTGCCTCAGTCAGCCTCAGTTTCCTCATCTGTAAATGGGATTAATAATAATACTAGCACCTCATAGAATTATGAATAAGCATTAATAAGAAAATGGGTATATGTAAATATTAGCACAGAGCCTGGCACCTAGTAAATAGCCCATAAAGCTTAACCATTATGTATGTATGAATTTATATTATCTCTTTCAGAGAGAACAAAATTAATAAATATGGAAAATCTGCAAAGATTTCAGTCTCCCCATCATTGTCCCTGGTCTATAGACTTTCCTGCTTCCTCTCAGTGGGGACCCAGGCACTTTCACTCTCGCTCTTCTCTTTCATGCTTGTGAGTGGTTCTCAGCACCTTCTTCTGTCCTCAGGCTCCTGTTCATGTAGGTGATGCCCACCCCTTCTCCATGGACGCCTCTTCCTCAGGACAGAGCTGACTTTTCTCACTGGCTGGTTGAGTTTTGGGTTTTGTGGAAGTAGGTTTCCCTAAAATAATTCCTAGCAGCCTCCACGTGCTCTGCTTTGAACCCCTCATGTCTTTCTGTCACCGAGAATGGCAGCCTTTCCTCCCTTCTGTCCTCTCCATTGTGTTGGTATGTGTCCTTCCAAGTTCTATTTGCAAAAGGCTTCCTTTAAGTAATTCTTAATGTACTTCACTTACGTTGAATCTCCATCTGCTTTGAAAAATGTAATGAAAGACTCTAAATGCATAAAAAGGGTGTAAAGAAAAATATCACAACACTCACATCCCCAGCTCTCAGTTGAGTGACCTCCTTCGTTTCTGTAGGAAGCTCAGCCTCTGTCGGAACCTGACCCTCAGCACAGCCCACCCCTGGGTGCAGTGTTTAAATTCAGCCCGGGGTGTGCCTGTGCTTCACCCAGTGTTACACTGTCAGTATCCAGTCAGCTATCTGACCTGAGTTAGAATTCAGCTTCTTGATTTGATGGCTTATTTAAAGAATTCTCAAACTATCAAGAGGGTATTTAGGAAACATCAACCAGAAGAAACCAGTAGTTAACCTTGTCATCTAAAGTGCTCCCTGTCCCTCTGTAGGATTCATTATGTGCAACCCTGAGGTGTGCGTGGTCTCCAAAGACGAAAACAGTAACAATAACCACAGAGCCCTGTGCAGTATTTCATCAATGACTGATTGTTCTTACACATCTGCCTGTGTGTTCTTGGCAGTGGCCCCTCTGCGGTGTGTGCTGCAGATGGTGGAGCCTGGGTCCCCTTTACCGGGGAGAAGCAGCCACAGCGACAAGTCCTGAACGTGTGGCCTCAGCAAGTCTGCAGAGGCGCAATTTGCCTTTTGGCTGCCAGGGAGAGGGGAGGGGGCGGATTTTTTTTTTTTTTTTTTTTTTTTAGCTGAGCCATTCTGCCACCTGTTGGATGTCTCAGCTTGGGCTGGGACTCGAACCGCTGTTGCTTAGCGCTCACTCTTGAGTGAGCTCTTAACCAACTGAGCCACTCAGCTGGCCCCCTGGAGGGACTTTTGACGTGCAGATATTTGTACTGCGTTGCCTCAGTTTTATTTTCTTTGATATGGGCTCTTGTTCATTTCTGATTATTCACTCAGTAGGTTTGTAAGTACTCTTACTTTGGGAATTGATGAAAGCCAACCAAACAACATTTTCTACTAAATAATTAAAATAATAAGCTTGTAGAAAAACATGCATAATTCAGAGAAGTATAAAAATGGAATTAAATGTCACCTATAATTCCACAGCCCAGACATAAGCACTATGAACATTTTGATGCATTTTCTTCCTGGTCTGTACATATACTTTTTTAAAAATATAGGGATATTAAAAATGTATCATTTTGGTTCCAATTTTTACTTTATTGAGATCATTTTCTAGTGTTATTAAATAGACTTCAAGATGTGATTTTCACTGACAGTATAACATTCCATCTGGTGGCTGAACCATAATTTATTTCATCATTTCCAATTTCTAGATGTCTGTGTTGTTTGCAGTTTTTAACCAAAATAACACCACTATAAACGGTTGTAGATCTTTTTTGTTTGACTTTCTGATTATGTTCTTATGGTCAGAGATTAGGAACCATTTGAAGGCTCATGGTGTGTATGTTGCCAGATCATTTACCAGAAGGTTGTACAACACACTCTCCCACCTGCAGTATTGCAAAGCTGCTCTCGCTACTCCCTGGTCAGCTAAAGAGACTACATCTTTAAATCTTTGCTAATGTACTGGGTGGAAAATGGTAACTTGTTTCCATCATATTTGAGCTGTTACATCTTGTAATCTTGTGTTCTCTCTTGCCTTGGTGTGATGTAGTTTCCTTTACTTTGTGTGATACTAGTGTCTAAAAATAATCCCTAGGTGATATCTTACTCCTTGTTTGATGTTAATAATACGGACATTCGGATGAGCTGTATGAGGTACTAGACTGACTTTATCAATGTTAATAACAGTTCTCTTTCAGAGTAAATATTGGACTCATCTAGGGAGATGGGATGGGTCATTAGACTACCCACCTCTACCCAAAGGAAGAAGCATCTCTTGGAAATAGGGGAGCTTCAGCTCTCTGGCAGAGCCTTGCGTTCACTCTAGAGTTGCCCTGCCTTGCTGGGAAAACAATGAGGCATTTTAAAGATGTTTCTGCCCATTGCATTCCAGTTCCAGGTGTAAACTTACACAAGGCATATCCCCTCCTTCCCTATTTGGGGTATGAGGGATGCTAGATAAGACTGGGTTAGAAATGTCCCAACCACATAGTCCCCTAGAACCAGAATAAGGCCCCCCAGACCTTAAAAGGGAGACATAAAGAGGAAAAGTTCAGGAAAATAGGAATTCTGTATGATACTCTTAGGACTAGGCTTTTTCCTCAATGAGTTAGTCTAGTGTTCCCCAAATCTTCAGGATTTTTTTTTGCCATATTCTGTACTATTATTTATTAACTGCATTTTAAAAAATAAACTCATTTACTCAGTTAGATTTATTTACAAAAATAAATGTTATCAGTTCTATAAATGGAAAAACAATGCCATTTGCCAAAAATAGGAAGTAACCTTCAAAATAAACACAGTGAAAACCAAAACAATCTTTTAAATTAAGTTCTAAGTCAGGTCTTGTTGCTTACAAATATGTCGGTCCTGAGGCTGTCCTCACTTTGTTAACAAAACAGTCTTGAAGATAGAGTAACACTAAACTGAAACCACCTCCTCAAGGTCAGCAGAAGGACTTTAACAGAATTTTTAGAAAAGGACAACCTGTTCCTTTTGGAACTCAATGTTTAATGCTGTATTTGGACTACCTAAAACGACCTCTTGTTCTACCAGTAGTGCATGTTCTATCCTGAGGAATAGTTGAGGTTACAATGCCTTACCAGATTAACTGTGAAATCTTGGTGGATTGACACAGCAAAGATTTGTTTCTTGCTCATGCTGCCTCCATGTCCAGAGTGAAGGCGGGCGGGAGTGGAGGGCAGGCCTTGTGTTCCAGGCTAAGGGAGGCGCCTCCATCTGGAGCCTCGTCAGTTCCCACAATAGAGGAAAGCTTAGCATGAACTCACCCCTGTTCTTTTACACTTAGGCTTGGAAGTGACTGCCTCACTTCTCTCCTTAGCCCATTGGCCAGAGCGAGCCACATGGCCTTGCCTAAGTTCAAGGGCCTGGGAAGGATAGAGGAGCATATGAACATTTGGGGAACACTGCTATCTGCTACATCTGTCTCTGCAGCATAGGGCTGGTCTAGATGCATCTAGATGAGGAATGGATGTGGGTGTGATTTATCTGAAGAAGGTAATGATTGTATGTAGATAGTTGGTAATACTATTAATATTACATTCAGCAAGTAAAGGTGGTACGATGTGTCAGACCATTCCTTGGTAATGGTGTCTCCTTTCTTACAGCTTCATTAAAGAGCGGTCAAAAGTAAATGCAGTTCCCCTGAAGAATAAGAAGGCCTCCAGTTTTCATGAGTTTGCCCGGAATACCAGTGATGCCTGGGACATTGGCGACGATGAGGAAGAGGACTTTTCCTCCCCTTCCTTCCAAACTCTGAACTCAAAAGTTGCTTTGGCAACCGCAGCCCAAGTCCTCGAAAACCACAGCAAGCTGAGGGTGAAACCAGAGCGGTCCCAGTCAACAACATCCGACCTCCCAGCCAGCTACAAGGTCATAAAGTCCAGCAGCGATGCCCAGCTGTCTAGAAACTCCAGTAAGTCTGTCCCACTCCCCTTCAGAGCTACAGCCTTTTAAAAAGCAGAGTGCATTTTATTTATTTATTTATTTTAAAGATTTTATTGGGGAATTGGGGGAGGGGAACAGCCAAGTTGCTGTCCTTTTATTCTTCAGTCTAGTTGTGGAGGACATTGATTCACTGGCCCATGTTGGTATTATGATCATTGCGCTCTTCCCAGCTGAGGCAGTCGGTCGCCGGCCATTGGACTGCCGTTCACGGTGACTCACGGCCGCTCATGCTGGTGCCGGCCACTCACGATAGCTCACGGCAGCCCAGCTCAAGGTCGAGCTGTTGTTCACAATCTTAGTGGTAGAGGGCGCAGCATCACTGGCCCATGTGGAAATTGAACCAGCGGCCCCATTGCTCAGAGCTCACGCTCCCAAGCCAACTCTTAACCAAGTGAGTCACTCGGCCGGCCCCCAGAGTGCGTTTTAAATCAAAACAGTTTTTCTTTAGGGCGTCACTCAGATTTCCCATTGGAGGATAAGTAAGCAAGCTTGAGCCTGAGGTATGTCATCAGTGAGCCTCAGTGGTCCTAAGCTACCCTTGCTCCTCCCACCTAAATGGCTGCCTGGCCCTGCGACCCGGTGTTTCACTTCCCAACCCCAAAGTGTTGCCTGCCAATTTCTTCTTCCTTTCCCTACGCTGGGGTCCCGAACTTTTGTGGTTTGGTTGCTTCACATTGCTTTAGGCCTGGTCCGGTTAAAGAATAGTAACTAATGTATTTAAAGTTGTTAGCAGCTGAATTGCACAAATGTTTGGCACTGTGGCTTGGTCTCCTTGTTGTGGGGAACGGCCACGAGCCTAAGGTTGTCTTTTTCCTGTTCCTGAGGGAGGGGACGATGTGAGCCTGAAGGCCCTGGGTCCCACCAGGTTGGGTAGAGTGGAGGGGCTGTCCCTTCTGTGTCTCTTCAGGACACTGGCCACAGTAATGGTTGACATGATGGGGGCTTTATCAGATATTTGGAGACTCTCAGTGTACTCTTTATTTTTTCTTTTTAAAGATTTTATTGGTGAACTGGGGGAGGGGAATAGCGCTGGGGAATCGGGGAAGGGGAGCAGACAAGTTGCTGTCCTTTTGCTCTTTAGTCTAGTTATGGAGGACGTCACTTCACTGGCGCATGTTGGTATTATCATTGCGCTCTTCCTGGGCGAGGCAGATCAGTCGCTGGCCACTGGACGGCCGCTCACGGTGGCTGGTGGCAGCTCACGCTGACTGCCGGCCACTCACAGTAGCTCACAGCAGCCCACTGCAGCCTACGCCGTTGTTCGTGACTCACAGCAACTCAGCTCCAGGTCGAGCTGTTGTTCACCATCTCAGCTGTAGAGGGCGCAGCGTCACTGGCCCTCATGTGGGATCCGAATCGCGGCCCTGCTGTTCAGAGCTTGCACTCCCAAGCCAACTCTTAACCAACACACCACTCGGCCGGCCCTCAGTGTACTCTTTGAAATATGCATTGCTGTAATCAATGTTGCCCTTGGGTTTATGAAAGCCGGTTATTCTGAGCTGGAGGGGTCGGTGCCATCATTCTAGTGAAAGTGACAACAGCTGACTGGTAAAGGGTCAGAAGGAAGGAGAAGCATGTCAGAGCCCTGGGGCATGTCCTGGCTCGTGCTCTGAGAGAACGCCTTTTCCAGTTTCACACTAAGTATGTGGTCATACAATTACACTGTAAGGCCTCTCAAACCATCCCCCAGTCACTCTCCATCGCTGATTCGAGCTCCAGCTTAAATCTTCAGTGCCATGTCCGGGCAGGTGTTCGGTGTTGACCGACCAGGACGCCACAGCTACGGGCTATGGACAGTGTCCACGCGCCGTGATGACAGGTCTCCAGAGGGTGCCGGTGTGAGGAGGCCCCTCCTCGATCCCTGAGGAGCTGCCCTGTGCAGTCAGGAGCGCCCAGAGCGGTCCGTTTGGGTTCCCTCCAGTGTGCATCTGTCTGTGGGTCGCTGGTATCAGAGGTGCCCATCGGCCGTCTCAGCTCTGCAGTGTGTGGTCTGTGCTTTCCAGGCCTTGGGTTACGCTGGGCATCCAGCCAAGTACCCTGTGGCAGCTGTTTCTTGTGCTGGTTGTTTAGTAGTCACTGTTTAATTCTTGTTGTGATGACTGCTTTTCAAGGCCCGGGTTTAGAAAAGATATGAAACAGTCATGAAAAGACCATCAGAATTTAAAACGAGTTTTGTTTGCAGTAGTAAAATAAATAAGGGTTTTGGAGTCAGAAAGATCTAAGGTGGCCTCTCGGCTCTCCCTTGCAAAGTACTCAACCTCTCTGAGCTGAAGTTTCCACATCTGTAAAATAGTGACAGATTCCTACCGTGTGTTGTAAGGGTCAAATGAGAGATACGGGAATGGGACCAGCTTCATGTCTTACACACAGTAAGCATTCACTAAACGCTAGTCCTGTACTGCTCATTTCTCCTGCCTGCCAGCTAGTTTAGAAACGTCTAGAAGCAGACGGAGAGTTCAGCTTGAGTCTGTGTTCCTGTGGTTTCAGTCACATCCCAGCAGAATTAAAAGCTGGTTCATTGGGCGGGAAATGTCGGCGCACAGAGGAGCTGCAGCCCAGAACAGGATTGCTTTAGGCCAGGGCCTCTCAGCCGGTGTGCAGGGCACACGCGTGGGCCAAGAACAGGCTGGGGCTGGGCCCGGGCAGCTGGGTGTGGCTGGGGTGTCGGGAGAGCAGCCACCTCCTTTTAACTGCAGCACACTTTACAGTGTCACCATTTCCCATGTGCTCCGTGACATGGAAAGGGAAGGCGAATACCACCTTAGACTACATTGCCCCCAAACTCACTATTAGGCACCGGGAACATTTCCAGCCTGAGACAGAAAGAAAACATTTGATTGTCTCCTGGAGTCCCCAAAACAATTCTCAAACTTGCTGCAGTGTCGGAGTCTCTGTTAGCACACAAGGTGCGCGGTGTGTATGGTAAGTACGCAGCCTGGGCCGGCCGAGTGGCGCAATGGTTAAGAACTGGCTTGGAATGCCAGAGGGCCCCGGTTCGGATCCCACATATGAGGGCCAGTGACACTGCCCTCCACAGCTAAGATGCTGAACAACAGCTCAACCTGGAGCTGGGCTGCTGTGAGTCGCCGGCGACGGTGCAGGCTGCAGCCCCTGTGGCAGTGGATTGCCATGGCTACCGTGTGTAGCCAGCAGCCAGCGTGAGCAGCTAGCAGCCGCAGTGAGCGGCCGTCCAGAAGCCGGCGACTGATCTGCCTCGCCCAGGAAGAGCGCAATGATGGTGCCAACTTGGGCCAGTGAAGCAACGTCCTCCACAACTACACCGAAGAACAAAAAATGACAGCAACTTGTCTGTTCCCCTTCCCCCAATTCCCCAGCACTGTTCCCATCCCCCCAATTCCCCAATAAAAATCTTTAAAAAAAAAAAAAGAACGCAGCCTGTCCTCTGGGCAGACAAGTGGAGCAGAGCTGATTGACCCTCAGCTGGGCACCTTCAGGCCATGCACAGACTGTTAGCTGCGGCCCTGGTGGAGGAGGCCGGTCCTGAGCAGTCCGGTGTAAGGTTTCTCAGATTCCGGGCTCTTCACACAGCCTGTGCTCTTGCTCTTTCCAATGATCTCAGGTGATACATGCCTGAGGAACGCACTCCACAAACAGCAGTCACTCCCTCTCCGACCCATCATCCCCCTGGTTGCCCGCATCTCAGACCAGAACGCCTCTGGGGCACCCCCAATGACCGTCCGGGAGAAAACCCGCCTAGAAAAATTCCGCCAGCTCCTCTCCAGCCACAACACTGACTTAGGTGAGTCCCGCGAGCCTGGGCCAGACAGGGCCTCTTGGTGACTGGGCTTCTCAGAGACCTGGAAGCTACTGCTCTTTATTCTTCCTTCTTTTACTTTTCCAGCATCTCCTGATCTGGTGCCCACTGCAGTGACATGCAGGTATTAAGTCAGAAGTATGTTACTAGAAACTAGGGACCAAATTAGGTGGGACTGGATTCTGTGGCCTGTAGACCATAGCGCAGCTATCCTGGTGTTGGTCTCCCCTACCTCAAGGCAATTTGGACAGAAACCCACACCCACTGGTCTTTCTCTTCCCCTCCAGCTCTGATCTCGGAGCTGACTGGGTCACTGCTGCAGAGCCGTGTCCTTGGCACTTGGCTGCTCAGGGCTGTTGTTTTGGGCCTTTTCCCTTTGCTTGTCAGTAGCTGGTGGTGGTGGTGGTGGTGGTGGTGGTGGTGGTCATGGTGATGGTGGCAATCGCCTGACTTGAATGGCGGGAGGCATCAGGAAGTGCTGGCTGAGGTTGTTTTAGGGCATCTGTAGGAAGAGCTCAATCCAACGAAGCTGTTATCTGTTTGCAGATGAACTGAGGAAGTGTAGCTGGCCAGGGGTTCCCAGGGAGGTTCGCCCTGTGACCTGGAGACTCCTGTCGGTGAGTTCTACGCGCTGAGTAGGGAAGCATGACCTCACACAGCCCTTCTTACCTGATGAGGTTGTCCTGGCACGTCAGCCTTGCTCCAGAGACTTCTCTAGTCCCACCGGATATGACGGAACTGTGGGACTGTCGGCCTGCTTCTGTGCGTAAAGAAACACATGCATGAGAGGTTATTCCCACACCTGTAGAGGGACACAAGTTTATTCCTATCGTCACAACCTCACTTTCTCACCACCGAGGAGGGAGAATACAGTGAGGCAGGGGGATCCCAGCACTTGCTTGGGCACGCTCCCACAGTCCCGGTGTTTCAGTCCTTTCTCAGGAGGACAGCGGTTCTCAACCTTTCACAGGGGTCGCCTAAGACCATCGGAAAACACATATTTTCGATGGTCTTAGGAACCGAGACACCACTCCTGTATCCGTCTCCAGGCCCACATGCAGATACACCCACATACGAGTACCTGGTGACCCCTGTGCAAGGGTCGTTCGACCCCCAAAGGGGTCTCGAGCCACAGGTTGAGAACCGCTGCAGTAGGAATAACCAAAGTGGTTGAAACCCACTTTGCAGCTGTGAAGAGCTGATAGATGGGCCTCCCTCGGAAGCCTGCCCTAGTCCCACTTCCACTAAGTACAGAGCACCGTGCCAGCCGCTGCGATAGGGACACCTGGGTTTCCTAAACCTGTGAGATTCATCATTCACCTAGTAAGGATTTATTGAGGGCCTGCTGTTTGCCAGGCACGGTGCCAGCTGCCAGGAGGGTATAAAAATGAATAAACTATAGACCCTGCCCTCCAGGCACTCGCTGTGGAATGCATCGCATAGCTGCCTGCAGAGGAAGGGTCTCTCTCCTGACTGTTCCCCACCCTCCATCTTGCAACCACGGAATCATTGCTGTTGTCACCACTAATAAGTGTGAATGTTATTAAGAGTAGATTTGATGAGAATGGAACAGGAGAGGTAAGAGGTAAGTGAGAGTGGGGTCTAGACCAGGGACAAGGATGAAAGTTGGCCTGGAGCTTTGGCTGGGGGTGGAGGTGGGGGGCTGCTACCAGAAGTTTTATGTCTGGGCATCGCAGCCGCTGTGTCACAGATTCCATTCAGCTTCCTAAGCTGGTCATTGTGAATGTGACCGTGGAAAAGAATGGGGAAGTGGCCCAAACTTACATGGCACGTCACTGAGATGTGCCATAGAGTTGGCCACCTCCCTGCGATTCTCAGAAATACTGCCTTGCGCACACACACACAGCCCCCAGAGGTCCTGACGGGGGTCCAGTTCCCTCCGACGGACCTGCAGTCACTGCTCTCCTGCGCCAACTCCGGGAGCTCGGGCGCGCTTACCAGCGGCACAGCCCCCAGCGCAGCGCAGGCTGCGAGAGCACATAACCCTGGGGAAGCTGGTTCATCTGCCCACATGTGGATCTCGTTGAATGAGGAGAAGGCAAACACCGTGTGGCCAAAACCAAAAAGGGATTGACCCTTGTCCTCCTGGCAGCTTTCCTTCCATTCCTTTGATAGTTTCCAAGTCACTGCTCAGGCTAAAATGAAAATTGAGGATTCATGCAACCGGTATCTGTCCCCCTCTGACTAGCAGTCCCGTCCACAGGGCTATCTCCCAGCCAACACTGAGAGGAGGAAGCTGACCCTGCAGCGGAAGCGCGAGGAATATTTTGGCTTCATTGAGCAGTATTATGACTCTCGAAATGAGGAGCATCACCAGGACACCTACAGACAGGTACAGTCATCCCTGCTGCCTCTTTGCTTAAGAGTCATAATCTCAAGGTGTGTGCCCTGGGAGTGCTGTCGGGGTGCAGGGTTTCCAAGTCTTCAGGCTGTGGTGTGCTGATGAGGAACTACATTTATTCCTGGGGGTACACGGAGTAGGTATGGGGGTCTGGAAAAAGCTTATGCCCAGAACCGGTTCCTCTCTTTCTAATTCAGTCATTTTGATTTTAGCCATTTTAAATAGATATTTTTTCCACTGGTCATTAGCAGTGCTTCTGGAACTTAATGTGCTTGCAAATCACCTAGGGTTTTGGTAAAAGCCCACCTGGGGATTATAATAAAATGCAAATTGTAACTCAGTAGGTCTGGGGTGAGCCCCTCTCTTCTCATGAGCTCCTGGGGGATGCCAGCGCTGCCTGCGTTTCACAGACCTCACTGCAGCAGTAAGGCTTATGGGACACAAGAGGAGAGATGAGTGCCCTCAGGAGTGGCCCAGACCCCCGGCCTGGACATCAGTGTGTCCTTCTGGTAGCTGCAGTGCCTGTTCAGCGCCCATGTCTGTCTGTCTGTCTGCAGGAACTGTAGTCAGCAGCGTCCTCAGCAGGGAGTGTCCCGTCATTGCCCATAGTGGTCCCCACAGCCTGTGGAAAAGCGGAGGAGGCAGAGAGGAGGCTGGTGGTTGCAGAAGGGAGACGAGGCTGGGGGAGGCAGCTGTCTCCGAGCCCTGAGGACTGAAGTAGCCTCTGCCGCTGCCGACACAGTTTTTAGGATCCTTAGACGGGGCTTTGGGAAACCCCAGGGCCCAAACCAACTGTAGTGACCGCTTTAGTAACAGAAGTCAGAACTTTCAGTGCCAGTTACTGGAGCTCAGCTCCCCTCGGTTTTTCCCCACTTCTTACACGACATGACTTCATGGGCAGGTTCTCTGGTTCCCTGTTCTGGCGCGTTTTTGCAGCTGTCAGAGCTCTTTCAGTTCTTGGAAACTTGATGAGCAACACTCAGAAAGAGGGGTACACATTTTGATCACACCTGTTAAAAGGACCAACTCAGAGTGAAACAGACTTCAGAGCAATAGGGAAAAACAGGTGATTCTCTTAGGTTATGAAGCCTGCTGCTTTTTGAGATAAGTGGGGGTTTTTTGTGGGGGAGGGGAGGAAGGTTTCCTCACTGTTCAATAAGCTATTGCTGTCATGGAAACGTATTCCAGATAGGCAGGCAGGTTTAACTAGCCTTCTTTTGTATGTCAGTTCTTTTTAAAGATAAATTGTGTTCTCACTCTTACTTCCTTGATTTCCAGTTCTTATTAAGAAAATAACTTCTCAAGAGAACAAACTGGCATTTGTGTTTTTGGACACGGCTTCTCTTTTTCAGATTCACATTGACATTCCAAGGACGAATCCTCTCATTCCATTGTTCCAGCAACCACTTGTACAGGAGGTGAGGAAAGTACCTAATGTTCTCGGCCCTTCTCCCGTTGTGCCTCCGAGGCACCTGTTCTGCGTGAATGCGTGCACGAGCCCTCCCTCTAACCACGGGCAGGGTTACGGCTAGTCGTGATAGCACCTGATACGGAGTTTGGTCCATTCTGAGCACTTTCTTGTGCATTCTCATTTGATCTTCATAACAAACCCAGAGGCAGAGGAGGGACTTGCCCAGAGTTTGGAGGCCACCTCGTGACAGAATGAAGACTAGGACCCACGTCTTAGAATTCCTAGTATCAAGTTGGGATAATGATTTTTTTTTTATTGTGGTAAATATACAGAGCATGAAATTTTAAATTGTAACCATATTTTAATGTACAGTTCAGTGCTATCCGTACACCGTTGTTATACAACCATTACCACCATATGTCTCTATAACTTTTTTAGCTTCCCAAACTGAAACTCTGTACCCATTAAACAGTAACTCTCCATCTCCAGCAATCACCATTCTACTTTCTAGCTCTATGAATGTGACTGCTCTCGATGCCTGAAATAAGTGGAATCAGACGGTATTTGTCCTTTTGTGTCTGGCTTATTTCACGTAGCATAATATCTTCAAGGCTCATCCATGTTGTAGAGGGTGTCAGAATTTCCTTTTTAAGACTGAATAATATTTTATTATATGTATATAACACATATTGTTGATTTATTCATCTATCAGTGGACAGTTGGGTTGCTTCCACCTTTGGGTATTGTGAATACTGCTGCTATAAATATGGGCAGGCAAATATGTATTTGAGTCCCTGTTTTAAATTCTTTTGGATATAACCCAGGAGTTGAATTAGTAATGATACTTTGAGACCTAACAAGTTAGCAGAGCCCATGGAAGGTCTCAGTGGGACTATTACCTTCTGTAACTATAATCTCCTTGAGATTAGACCTTGCCTTTGCAGCTTCATAATATTGAGGATGCTGGGTTTCAGTGCTCTTTGAATTTCACTTTCAGGTATCCTCATAATAGATAGGGAAAGTGGTAAAATGTTCAAAATAATTTTTATGAACTTTAGATTATATTCATAATTCTGTTTAATTATAGATGTCTCTACTGGTAGGATCCCTCATGACTTACCAATAGTGTAAAGAAGATTTTGAGGGTGACACCGTTATTTTACCTCTAAGAGTCAGCTCAAAGGAAGCTAAAAACCGATTCAGGATCCCTCTGTGTTTCCCATACACGTTCCCATGGCTCAGCCCTGCCTGTTCCTCATTTTCACTTGGAGATGTTCAGATACTTGTACCTGTGCACGCTTACTCTTTAAACTTGAGGCAGGGAAAGTAGTTTGTTTAAAAGGCTTCTCCTAGTAGTTGAACCTGAATACAAAGAAGGAAAAGCAAAACTTTACAATTTTTCTCGAATCCCCTTTCCATCTAGCAGATATAAAATGCCAACCAAGGAGCAGAGAACTAAGTAACCCTGAATATTAAGACTTGCTTTGCAAACCTGAAAGATACTCGAGTGTTAACTATAGTGAGTCAGAATTACCCACACTGGTAGAAGAGGTGTAGAAAAACCTTCAGGGATTATCCTACCCTCTCCTCCCTGTGAGGCAAGACTATCCCAGACTTTTTCTGTAGTGAAGATTCCATGGTCTCCCCTGGTGACCAGGCTTGGTGCTGTGCAATGTCCATCTCTTTGGCATCCTCAGTTGTACAGGGTGAGTGTGTCTGCGTTGTTCCATCCTTGCTAGAGAGGGTGTATTGCAATTCTCCTGATTCTGAATGGCTAGCTTCCACGCCCTTGGCCAGTCACCAAGGATTTGTGTATTCACAAGGGGCTGATTGATAGTGTGCAAGTCCTTCAGGACTTACCTGGAGGAGCTTTAACAGGGACATCCAGACAGACACGGGCCACAGGGAGTGTGAGGAGACAGTGGGGCGGAGAATCCTTGAGATCTTCCTGAACATGGAGGCTCTAGCTTGAGCTCCACTTTCAAGGGCGGGAGAGGCCATTTGCAGCAGAGAGGAAAGCGTGTACAAGGGCCCCCATTAGAGTGTTGGGTCTAACCAAGTGAGGACGCCACAGCCTTCCCTCAGCCCCAGGGAGCAAGTGGGCAGGCCTAGTGGAGGCAGCGAGGCCAGCTCCTTCCAGGCAGGGCTTTGTTCTCACTGCCTGGAGGGGCAGGAGTGTTTCTCAGGTCTCTGCCAGCTAGAGGGCAGACTCAACCCAGGCTGGGAAACGTCCTTTATTGTCTTTAGATGCTCCGCTTCTCTCCTACACTCGCTAACCAACTCCCACACCACACAGCCATTCCCCTTTTACTGTCTCCCTGAGTGAGAGCTTTGTTCTCCCTCCACCTGACCTCTGAGAGGGCCTCTTCAGTCTGCCCCAGAGCCGGGTGATGGGGGCTCTGCAAAGCCCATGTGCCGGGGAGGCCCTGTCATCCCCGTCCTCGGCACGTAGTCGCCATCACCTCTGCCACCCCTCTGGGTGGTTCACAGGGACATGAGGCAGGCCAAGCTGGGCCCGGGAGTTGTGGTCAGCAGGATAAAGCCAGGGAAGGAGTGTTATCAGGTTGAGAAGATCAGGGAAAAGCTCAGAAGGCCAAATGAAAGCAGAGGGCAGTGTAGCTGAATGGGCCAGGGCCAGACTCTGTAAATGGACCACAAAGAGCTTTTCTTTCCCCCCCATTCTAAGCCTCTGGCCTCTGTGGTTAATGTACTTAATTTGCCATGGAGGCCCTGGCCAATTTCTCTGTTCTCAGATTCCCAGCTGTAGCAGTCCATGGGACTTGGTTTATTTGACTTCCTATCCCCAGCAAATGTCTGGGTTGCATCCTGATGTGTGAAATGACTTCCTGCATTTGTAGTCTCACTAGTGTCTAGTCAAGCTGGGTTAGAACTGAATCTAGATCTAGATCTCCTGTCTCAGTGGGAGAAAGGAGAGGTCGGTAGAGAAGGCATTCTCTCCCTAAATCCTGCAATGACAGAAAGAGATTTAGAAAAGGTGTCAACTTAGATGTTCGGACATTTTGCTCCTGGAAATAGAGAAACAATATCTACAAATGACACCCTGAATTAATGACATCCACTGCAAACCTTTTTCTAAGCCGTTTGTGTCGCCATCCTTTTCTTTTCCCAATTTTATATCACAGTGACTAGATATTGAAAGGATAAATAAAGGGCAAGAAATATCTACCCCTGCTTAATAACAACTAGCATCTTAGAAACTATTTATATTTATATACTTCCTTTAGCCATAGTACTTTTAAATTTTCCCCCCAAATTCTGCAGCAACCCTGAGATAAATTGTGAAATAGGTAAATGGAGGGAGGGAGTGTATCCCCATGGTTTAACAGTCATGTCTGCTTTCTTTCTCGTTTTCCTAGATCTTCGAAAGAATTCTATTTATTTGGGCCATCCGACACCCTGCCAGTGGGTATGTCCAGGGAATTAATGACCTGGTCACTCCGTTCTTTGTCGTCTTCCTCTCAGAATATGTGGGTAAGAAGCATGAGTACCAAGTTGAACAAAGCTATTGCTCTTATCTTCAGTCTGTTTTTCCCAAGAGTACAGCCAGTAGACATGTCTTGCTAATAAAAGGATGGTGGCTTTAGAGTACACAGCTGAACCTATTTTAATAGCAGTAGGAGCCTGGGGTTTATCTCTCAAGATGGTCGCAGATATCACCTAAAAAGTCCTGCTTTGTCACAAGAATGACTGCATTGATATATTATGTTCTTCCATAAAGAGATGGTTTGATGGCTTATTTAAGGTCATTTTGAACTTGTCGAAAAGAGGAATTTTAGATTGTGCGTCAGGCCTTCCCAATCAGCTCACATGCTGTTCCTTAGGAGCAGGGTACGGACATGTAGAGGAGAGAAGGATGTGGCGCCGGAACCCAGCTCCCATGGGAGGTAATGGCTGGACCGAGGAGCGCCCCAGCACCTCGATTCCTTCCCCTCAGCTCTTACCCACCGGGTTCTTGTCACTTTGGATAGAGTGATTAGATGTCACCGTGGCAGTTAGGCTTCCTTACAGCCCCAGCCTCCTCCCCTGGCCATGCCTAAATTAGGCCGTCTTAAAAGGATTTGAGGCTCTTCCCCTTTTTTTGGTTTCCTTAATCACTTGTGCTTAGAGAGTCACAGGCAAACCCATCTGTCATGGCCCGATGCCTTGTTCTCTTAAAGAGAAGCTTACGTGGGAATCCGAACGTTGAAAGGGTCTTAGAAAACCATCCATCGTTACAATCCTGTCATTTCGCAGGTGGGTTATAAGGTTCCCTGCCTTTTTATTAGTGGCAGAGCTTGGACTAGGACCCTCTTCTTTGGACTCTGGAGGAGGTGGATTGTGGTTTGTGCAGGAAACCATTGCAGGGGGGTAGGAGGGTACGGAGAAGCGGACTAGAGTACAGACCCTTGAGGGCAGAGGGCATAAAGAATGTCTCACTTGATTCATCTCATTCGTGTTTTCTGATGGGGCTCAAAGGGATGGTGTTTTGGTTTCATGAGGTGGTCTCAAAAAGTAAGGCCACTGAATGACATTCTCCCTTATTCCCCTGAGGTAGCAGCAACCAGGGCAGACCTGGGAGGGAGTAAAGGTGGAAGGTCACTCTGGCCAACTCTGTTAGGTGATCCTAAGTAAAGGCGAGCCTAGTGCAAATGTAGCTACTGAAAGCATAGAAATAAAGCTTTCGCTAGAGAACTTTTCATTTTCCCTTCACATTAATAGGTCGACTCTTAGAGGCAGCTTAATTCTATTAAGAACAGTGCAGCTGATCTGTTGGGATTTTGAAGTTGTTTCTTGCAATAGCACTTTTGTAAAACAATATTAAAGGATGAGCCTAGAAAGGTACTAATCCGTTCATTCATCTACATTTGAAGTCTAAATGCTGGCATGAAATCCTGGGAACAGTATTATGCCAATCAGAAATAATCCTCAGCAGCCGCAATTCCAGTTGGATATTTATTTAATTATCTTGTTAGCTGCCACTGATACCTCATATCAGAATTTGCTTTACTTTCTATAGGTGTCCATCCCATTACTACCTCAGCCCCCCGCCCCACCGAGCACTGTGCCTTTCTTGGACAGATAGGATGCCTTCTGATCTCGGCATTTGGTTTGTCAGCCCCACCTGCCGACCAGTGATCCCATATGCAGGGCAGCGTGGGCTTCTCTGCCCTTCCCAGGCACGGAAGCCATTCGTGGCACAGCTGCACTCAGTTTCACCTCTGCCACAGCCCTCTGACTACCTTCTCCTAGACCTAGGAGGATGGGGCGCACTCATTTTTTTTTTTTTTAAGATTTTT